ATTTCCCAGCTCATCAACTTCTCTATTCTATTTTTTTATGTGAACTTTAAGGATCTAAAGGATGGATGGGTTTCAACATCTGAACTGGGGTTTGACATTATGAAAAGTGAAAAAGTCAGAGTTGAGTCATGAGCTATGCGCACATTGAATTTTTTTTTTCCCCACAAGAAAACAACATTAAATCTACTTTTGGTAGTCTACTTCAAGATTCAAACCCCTAATTATCCTTTTTGCATAGCAATTTTGTCTCCAGAATCAGACCACACTGAAAGAAACCAAATCTACCATATCTCAATGGAAAACAGGTTCTAGGGCTATCATCATATAGACTTGCCCTCCAACCTGCATCCAATACAACCAGTCTGTATTAATATAAAACTGGTTTCCGAACATTAGAAGAAAGAAATGTGATATAGATGATAAAAATGTATAGAAGATTCTGCAGTTTTAAATAGATCAATGATGTAATTATAATCTCTCTTAGTTACTAATCTTTCACCTTTTATAACATGAAAGAAAGAAGAGATGAGGGATTCCAAAATATATCCACAATTAAACAGTACTTTTTTCCAAGCAAGAGAAAAAAGACGAATTAGATTCCTTCTAGAAAAGTCTTATTGTAATCCTACAGAAAGTTTTCAAACATGATTTCAGAGCATCGGCTATCTGAAACCAGTGGCCTTTTATTAGCAAGCAAACAATTTTAACTTCTTTAGTTAAGGTCTCGTATCTCCCTTTTAAAACTTCATAAAGCTTAATAACGGAGAATCAAAGTGCATCTCTCAGACATGGAGGAGTGTCTCTTAAGAATAAATATGTTGCATTGCATCTGAGGCATTAAATCTACTACATCTTCATCACCTTAAGGCTCACCAATGACCAATCTGACACCCTTGTTAGCAAGAACATTTTTTCTTGATTAAGTACATGTATTATACATCCTAATGATTCTGTCATCAATAAATAAACAAGAAAACTTGCAATTAACGCTATCCACCCGCCCTAAACAACCATGTTGTCATTGCCTTCCTCCTAGATGACAATCTACTTCTCTTTCTAGATAGAGTAGCATATTTTTTAGTTAGAGTCTTTCTTTTAACTCGTAACTCGGTCTGCAGTGCTTGCATCAGTTGTTTTCAACTGGTAGTGGGTGGTGTCCAGCATTTCATATGGAATTTTTACGCATCCAGGGTGAAACGTCAGACATCCATAAATTTATCAGTTCCAAGCAACGTAAAAACATCAGACATCCATAAATTTATCCGTTCCAAGCAATGTAAAATTTTGTGATATCCTTTTTTTTAATACTATTTTGTGGTCTTAAATTAAACTCCTTCAATTGGACAAGAAAAAGATTCTTTGGGGCCCAGGTGACAGCCATTTAGGGCTCCTGACAATTAGAAGGGTACATGATGATAAAGCTTACTGTCAGTAATCAAATTTCCTATCAAGGGGACTTCATAATGTAAGCTAGGTAAATTTATTCAGAGGTAGAATAGTGTCAAAAGACAAATTACGGAACTACAACAGTAATAAATTAAGATAAAGACATAGGTTTTGTACCCTGAAGACTGATCATATATGAAATCCGATTCCACTCCTGTAGCAGTTTCTGCAAATAGATGCGGGAAAAAAAACATTAGATCACCTGCCACAATGCTTGCTGCTTACAAGAGTGTTTCTATAGCATCTTGAATCTTAATGAGAAAATGGTACCCCCAGAATAGAAATTCTGAGAATAGTCCAAGCTTTCTAATGTTGGTTGCGGAAATTGTTCGGGCGAAGAACCAGAAGACAAGCCAGTCCCATTTGACTGTAGATTCACAGTAGTATTATCCTCATCATCCCCAAACATATCCAATTGATCACCATCTTTGCTAGATGGCACTTGCAATGATGTGTTGGCTTCTGAAGTACCAAGGGGCCTGTCCAACAAGGATGAGCCATCAGCTTCATAACCTGTAGCATTTGACGATATATCCTCCCCATGTTTCTTACTATCATCTTCTGCAGTGGAAAATATGCCTCTCCTTGCACGAGCTATACGTTCATATCCTTCTGAAAGGAAGCAAGAAAAATGAAGATTAGCTGCAGTCAAAAGCCTTTAGAGAAGATCTGTAATAAAATTCTCATGTATGTGTGATCAATAAAGTAGGCTCCTGGACATAAAATATGCATGATAGTCCAGTGCACAAATAATATAGTATCGGGTGAAGAATGCATTTATTGATGCAGGCATATAAGATACATCAGTTATTAGCAAGATGAGATACCATTTGAATAACATCCTAATAATACCATGAATTGAATGGCTGACAAACTGGAGGGATGCCTAATTGTAATAAAATGAAATGTAAAAAGAGAATAACTGAAAAAGCTTGAAAATTTAAATGATCGTTATTCCGAGGAGTCTGATTTATATGCCTGTAGTCAAATTTCTGGTCTGGTTCAAATAAAAATTGAACCTAGCTCATTCCTGCAGATAACCAACCATGACTACTGCTTAATTCTAAAGTTTCTACTTTCTACCTCCAATTGCACGATCAAAGTTCATATAAAATCCTAATCTCCACAGATAAGTCATTTACCTGAACGAAACAGATGAAAGAAATGCTAGGGGGATTATTCATTGGGACATTTGGGAGGATAATGGGATATTTTGGGGATTCTATTTCATAGTGTTATTCTTATTCATTGGGACGATGAAACAAGGATACCACCTTTTAATGTTATTGGTTTATTGAAACACTAGTAAGACAATTTCACCACTTAGGATAAAATTATCCCACTCATATACAAACATTTTGTCCCAACAGTACCCATCCTTCATATTGGAACAATTTTGTTCCACTTTGAAGGCAATTGGGATAATTTTGAAACCTTTTTGTATTACTTAACTAATATATGCTAATTATATTATAAATATATGACATGATATATAAAATAGAAAGTAATAATATATTCAATATATGACATGATATATAAAATATAAAGTAATAATATATTCAATATATTATATTATATTATCATGTAATAGAATAATATTATTATAGTTTAATTTATATGTATAATTTATTTTATTATATTTATTATATATTCAATATCACATACTATATTATATAATAGTACAACAGATTTATTATAATATTATATAATATTTTAATAATATATATTATTATATAATATATTATATTAGTTGAAGTTAATATTTTATTGTAGCAATTATATTATAGTGTATTATATTAAACCAATATAATAATATAGTATAATATAATATAACATATTAAAATTAATAAATATGTTAGTATATTACATTTAATTATAAAATATAATATAATATAAATCATGTTATGTGATTATATTATATTATATTAAATTAATATAATAAATATATTATTGTACTATAATATAATACATTTTAGATATTTTTTAATATATTATTGTAATTATCATATAATATCATACT